AGGTGACCCAGGAGCGGCCCAGTTGGTAACACAGGTTGATTCATGCATCCAGAGATTCCGAACACGGTCGGTCTACCCTCGCGAGCTGTTGCACACAGTTTCGTCAGACTTCCATCGGCACATCGGGAGATCAACGCTTCAACAGTTTCCCCAGACCTTCACAGAAAAGAAGTCTCCCATCGACAAAAAGAAAGAAAAAAGAGAAAGGAAGGAAGAAAGAAAGAAAGAAAGAAAGAAGCCTCCTGTCAGCTCATCATAACCGGGTGATTATGGGGACTGCAGCCACGTAGAGCTGCGGTAAATAGCACAACCGGTGGTTTGGTTTCACTTCATGGCAGGGGTGGGGTAGATATCACGACTGGTATGCTTCCACTTTTTTTTTTTTTTTTTTTTTTTTTCCCCAGAAGATATACGTTTATTATGGTTCCACTTTTGAGCACCGTGTCATGGGGATGCTGTGGAGTGGTTACGATGCTTGGCTCTTCGGGTCGAGGGTACCGGTTCGAATCCGTGTGCTGTCCTGCGGCTCCAGCCCAGGGATCCGAGGTTGTGGAAAGTACCGATCTGATAAGTACTGATCATCAGAACACTCCAGCGAACTGATCAACTGTGTCAAACAGATCAACAGAGAAGACGTAAAAAAAAAACAAATAGACTGCAAAAGGGCAAAAGGGCAAAAGTTCGCCGCAAAACCAATACATAATCCTTAAGACATTATTTAATATTTAAATTTTAAATGGGATAATAATAATTTGCAAAAAAAAAACCATAAGTCGAGACTCGAGACATACGCCAAAATGCCCCTGAAAGATGTGGGCAGGCGGAATGCCCCTCTGACAGGAAAAACAATTTGTGAAATACCCCTTGCATCAGTTGGACCCCCCATCTTTGCGATATACCCCTACCGGGCACCATCCAACTTTGCAAAATACCCCTGGTACTTGCCAACTTTTCCAAGGCCCGGTTGCAGAAGGGCCAAGGTCCAAACGGCGAGGTCCAGATTGCAAATTTGCACACCCGCCTGACAGGGGCAGAACACAAAGATTTCGGCCCAAAAGGGCATTCCGCTTTACCCACATCTTTCGGGGGCACTGTCGCATATATCTCAACTTATGGGGGTATTTCGCAAATTATCCGTAATGCAGTATTGCCAACCTAACAACAAAATAATTTACGCAGAGAACTGCCACAGTCAGAAACTCAAAGCTGTGACTGCCAATCTTCAATGGAAAATAATAAAATATCATTTCAATACGTGGCATCTACGGTTTGCACCTTGGGCGCTCCCGTAGTGGCCCGTTCATGCATCATTGTCACGGCTTGTTAACCGCCGGGACTTTTGGAGTTACTGGTGGTTTAAACTTTTTTAAAGTTCTTTTTGTTCAAAAAGAACTTCAAAATTTCAAATTGAACAAATTGGAAATTTGAAATTTGAAATTTCATAACGAATTTCCGGGTGACCCTCAGTCAAAAGTCGTTTGATTTGCAACTCTGCACGACATACGTTTTTTTTTTTGTTTTTTTTTTTTTCCAGTTTTTTTCAAACTTTGCTGGGGTTGCCCTGGACCTTGGCCGGGACTACGCGCGGACCTGGCCTGGCCGGGCCACCCGGGCCCATTGTAGGTAACCCAGGCGCCCTGGCTGGTAGTAGCCCAGTTATACGATCAATATCGGTATACTTGGGCTGCATCCCTTGCTCACATGGACATATTTACACGCATGCCATCCACCTCCTATCCTGAAAGGATTTTCTGGTTGCAAGTGCAAGCGGCCTTTTGGCTAAGATCAAGTGTAGTATCTGTTCCGATCAGTTTAATATCTGATCCGTGACCCATCGGGTCACATAAAAAAAAAAAAAAAAAAAAAAAAAAAAAAAAAAAAAAAAAAAAAAAAAAAAAAAAAAAAAAAAAAACTTAGCAAGGCGCTGTGCAATGAATGAGCGGTTCAACTGCAGTCATAACAGTTGAGGAAGATAACATGCTGACGTCCTTAACAAATCGAAGCCCAGGCGAATGATATGCTCACCAGTGCAGAGAAGCGCATGTCGATGATCGCAGGCAGGATGAACACCAGAAATGATCCGCAGCATGATCCCACAAGGCCAAGCACATCCGCAATGCCGAGCTGCTTGGTCACAACACAAAGTTTGATGCACAGCCATAGCCCACATCACGTCAGCACTCCAAACATAGAGGAGGAGGAGGTAGAAAGGACCATCCCAGGAGGTAGAGGAGGAGGAGGAAGAGAAGAGGAAGAAGAAGAGGAAGAGGAAGAGGAAGAGGAAGAAGAAGACGACGAGGAAGAGGAGGAGGAGGAGGAGGAAGAAGAAGAAGAAGAAGAAGAAGAAGAAGAAGAAGAAGAAGAAGAAGAAGAAGAAGAAGAAGAAGAAGAAGAAGAAGAAGAAGCACATCCACAATGCTGTGCTGCATGGTCACGAAACAAAGGCTAATGCACAGCCAGAGCAGACACGGAGTCCTCACTTCAAGGCAGAAGAACAAACAGAGAGGAGGAGGAGGTAGAGAGAAAGAAGAAAAGAAGGCAACTAAGAAATCATCATCATCGCAACTAAGAAATCCGTGATACGAACAGAGAGGCCATGTTGAAAGAGATTGATTGCTGTACGATCTGACTCAGCAACCACCCTTCTCCTGTGGATTTTCTCCATCTTGGCTGTCCCCATCGAAACCTTGCCCACAAACTGACTCTTATTCCCAGAATCTTTGTTCGCACCCCTATTGTCATTCCACTACTCCGTCATTATACATTTCTCGGGATGCAAAGAGAAGCTTAGTATCTGATCCGCAGTCCATCGAATTAAAAAAAAAAAAAAAAAAAAAAAAAAAAAAAAAAAAAAAAAAAAAAACACAACGAATCTTACCAGGTGGACGGTGGGAAGAGGCTTGTGAAGAGAATGACATTCCTCGTTAAAAAAAGAAAAAGAAAAAAAAAAAGAAGAAGAATCTTCCAAGGTGCTCAAAACCAACCTCAGTCCCTGATCAACAAAATGAACTCAGGGCTGAGGTTCGTTTTGGGCACCTGGGCTCTTTAGTACGAAGCTTCACTACACAACACTCTACAATTTCTACATGCATTTGAACATTTTCTGGACCCCATACATTCAAGATTTTGGACTTGTCTGAATGCACGTGGTCCAGAAAGAGTCCAAATGCATGTAGAGTGGTGTAGTGGAGCGAGGCCCTAAGTAACCGTTAAATCTGACTCTCCACTTGTGACTTTCAAATTTCAATTGAAAAAATAAAAAATAAAAAAATGTAGGCTTGCAGTAACCGTTGGATGGATTGTTTTAAACGGTCTGGATATTTTGTGCCTGCCTTGCTAAACCACAATTACCTCCAAGCGTCCGTCTCCCAATGCTAGACTTCAACCGCCCCTGGACTACTGAACCGTCATGGGGTCGGGCCTGGTGGTGGCAGCTGTGTGCGTTGCAGTTGCGCCACAATTTCTCGACAAATTGACAGGCATTTCCTCTTTCTTCTTTTTTTTTTCTTTTTTTTTGTACTCTTTTTTTTTTCGAGTCTTTTAGTCTTTTTTTTCCTTATAGAGCAGCACATACTTTTCATTCACGCCTTATCTCAGTTTTGTTTTAGGGAAAACGAGCGAGAAAAACCGGCAAACTGCAAACACAAAATTCTGTGTGCCCTGTCCTTCTGGAAGAATCAATACTCAGAACATCCGTTAAAATTGGAACGATACAGAGAATGAAGATTAGCATGGCCCCTGCGCAAGGATGACACGCATAAAAAATATCAAGAAAAATGGTCCCCCCCAAAGAAACGAAAAAACAAAAAAAAAACAAAAAAAAACAATAAATTATCATTTAATTATGCATGCCCCTTCCCCCTGGGAGCACCCACCCCCAATTGGCCCCCAACCTGATGACGGCCCCGTGCTAGTGTTAATCGGCGCAGGGCCAAGGATAGCTGGGTGAAAAGAAAAAAAAAACAATAAATTATGTGTGCCCCTTCCCCCCGGGAGCACCCACACCCCCAATAGGCCCCCAACCTGATGACGGCCCCGCGCTAGTGTTAATCGGCGCAGGGCCAAGGATTTAGCTTGGTGAAGTACTGGTAGTTTAATTACACACAACCTCACTGCATCCGCCATCACCACACCCTTGCAACGGTTCAACATTCAAATCCATATCGTTTCACTGTTTTTCAAGCTTTTGTTACTTTTGTTAAGTCCTTGCTCATCGTTGCCGCCCTGACTGTCGTCCTTGCTGACCTGCCCGTCCCTCGAACAGACGAATATTAGAATATGTACGGTTATGTGCCGAACCCTCTTACCGCCCTCTTTGTGTGCCAAATCTTTGTACCCCCTATTTGTTTGTGTGGTAAAAAACTGAAACCTTAAGGAATTCACAGGTGCGTTCGTTCTACGATCGACCCCTTACCTCAAAATAGACAGCCGTAGTAATCAACCCAAATATGGCCAGGTTTAGGAGGAATACCAAGAAAACACTTGGGTACTCTTTCTTCAAGGCAATCCCAAAGACCTGTATGCGAATCATGGACAGCAGAGATGGAAGAGAAACTGCTCCAAGGAAGAATGTGGCCAGACGTACTGACATCGGGATAACCAGCGCAGGGTTGAAGGAGTCGAGGTAGTTCATTGCGACCGTGACTTGGTCACTCCGCGTTGACGACTGCGGCGAACGTTGCCCATCCTTCTGGTGTCTTGAGTATGCCCCCAGAATTCCGGCAGACAGGAATACAAACTGCAAAGAGGTCCCGGTCCCAAAGAGGTTCAGGTCCCAAAGAGGTCCAGGTCCCAATGCAGGTCCCAAAGAGGTCCAGGTCCCAAAGAGGTCCAGGTCCCAAACAGGTTCAGGTCCCAAAGAGGTCCAGGTCCCAAACGTTTCCCAACCAAAATTGCCTACACTGTTAGGACATGAACAAATCAAGCAGCAACAAACGCAGAAGCGACAACAAGAAGACAAAAAACAGAGGCGAAAAAAAAAAAAAAAAAAAAAACCTTAAAAAACAGAGAAAAGACTCGAAAGAAGAATACCATCTGGATCGTAAACTTTTCGTCGGGCTTTTGAAGAATGAATTGTTAGAATCTACGAAAAGAGTTTTACAGCACCAGTACACCACACATCGGCCCGCGGGTGTCAGCACGAAACCCGCACCACTCCGGAGGCCGCCGATTTTGTTTTTCAACCGTGCCCCGTGCCGCGTGGCACCTCTGAGTTTTTTTTTTTTTTTTTTACAAAAACTTTCTGCAAGACGGGGGCCGTGTACTAGCGGTTTAAGGAGCAAGAGTGCAAGTTCGTTATTCACGTGCGACCAGATGGAGTTGCATGAGATATAAGGCCTCATTCCACTACTCTGCATTCTACATGCATTTGGGCTACTTTCTTGACCAAATTCCAAATTTTGAACGTTTGCAGTCAAGAAAACATCGAAATGCATGTAGAATGTTGTGTATTGGAGCCAGGCCCATACACCTTGGGTTTAAGTTTGGGAGATCTTTTCTTTTTTTTTTTCCACAAAAAAAACAGAACCTCCTGGTTCCAGCTCCTACCATTCTGATGAGCGACAGTCCGGTTCCTTTCCCCCGGCAAGTCAATACTAGATACATAAGAGACTCACGCACGCTCCTCCCCATTATGGCTGGGAGGCCCGAGTGGATGGCATTGATTACTTCCGTGAGGAAGAATGTACCAACCCTCACCCCTGCCTAAGTTAGCCTGAGTTTTCGCCCTCTGGTGAGCGACAGTCCGGTTCCTTTCCCCCGGCAAGTCAATACTAGATACATAAGAGACTCACGCTCCTCCCCATTATGGCTGGGAGGCCCGAGTGGATGGCATTGATTACTTCCGTGAGGAAGGATGTACCAACCCTCACCCCTGCCTAAGTTAGCCTGAGTTTTCGCCCTCTGGTGAGTGACAGTCCGGTTCCTTTCCCCCGGCAAGTCAATAATAGATACATAAGAGACTCACGCACGCTCCTCCCCATTATGGCTGGGACGCCCGAGTGGATGGCATTGACTACTTCCGTGAGGAAGGATGTACCAAGTTACCAACCCTCACCCCTGCCTAAGTTAGCCTGAGTTTTCGCTCCTTTGACCATCCCTGTGATCCCAGTCGTACTCCTCTCGGTAATGTAACTGTCAGATAATTGTGTTTTTAACTTTATACTAGAGTCGTCCGGGACATGTATGGTACTTCTGAGAAAAAGTTGCACCGCCAAAACCCTATTTGCCTGAATTCTGCTTGAATCGTAAACCCTAAAACCTCAGTTATAAGGCTGCCTCTTTCTGGCCCCATAGATAAAACTTGTGCTGCTTTTTAACCCTACAGTCCTTGACTATATCTCTCCTACCGTTTCCTACCTAGTATATCAACCCTAGGTTAACTAATTGTAATGGTGTCAAAAAAAAAATAAAAAATAAAAATTGTAATGGTGTCAGTACAGGAGTTGTCGAGTCTTCTGTCTCCTCATGTTGAACTCTGTGCTGGGTCCTAGATACAGGAGTTCCTACCTACAGTCCAGAAGGTGCAAGGACCCAGCACAGAGGCTAGGAAACATTCAAGCCTCAAGGCAATTCTCCAGACTAATCGTGGTGTATTACCTTGAGGCTTGAATGTTTCCTAGCCTGCCTTCTCCCAGCCGTTCTGTTTAAAATTTGTCAACAATTTCCTGTTGTTTCGTAGGATGTAACTTTATGAACTTCTATTCTTTGCTCCAGTCTGCTTGATATTCGTCTTGTAGAAGGTGCAGGAGGATCTGCCACGCTTCAGGCTCAAATATAGACTGAGTTGTTATCGTCTTCCTTGCACCTTCTTTTCCAAATTATCCATAGTGTGAGAGGTCGCAGTATCCGAAAGAAAGTCTTTTGCCACGCCACAACAAAGTTTGGCTCTTGCAGACCAGTTAGCCTTGTAATGTTGTTGCCTGCCTGGTAGGGGTGTTTCTGTTAAAGAAACCCAAAAGGGTTCTGTTCTGTTCCATATCTATGTTGCCTTTGAACAATCGAGCAAGCAGTGTAGCAGGTCTTCTGACTCTTGACAAATAGCACAGAGATCGTCTAGTGGTTGTCTGTCCATCTGTGAACGACGCCTGCTTAGCCACTTATTGACAGGAAGCGCATGGTAATAGATGAGCCATTGCATACTCCTGATGCGGGTGTTTCTAATTGATCACGGGACTTGCCATGCGATCTGAGTCCTGGCCCCTAGCCCCCCCGGAACATGCTTCTGCCATCTTGTTAATAGTGTATCACTTGTGTCGACTGCTCGCCTCCAAAGTCTGTATCCAAATCTGGTTGTGTAATCGAGAATATGCTTGTTCCGCGTTCCATCCTCGTTTTTGAGTAGAGTATGTTTTCCATGCCCACTCTGCTGGGTCAAATTTGAAATCCTGGAGCTCTTCTGTAGGGTCGAAGATTCTATAGTCCTCATCCCCAATTACTCTCACTTTCTTCATTGTCGCCGTCTTTGCCGTTACTTTGGCTGCAGTCATCTTAGAGACCACACTTATAGTCCGTCCCGTATGCTGTATATCATGAATTGATCACAATGCCCAATCTCCTGCCGGGCCTGTGCGCTTGATGAAAGAAAAGGCCATTGTCGGGATGGTTTCCCATCTTCCAATGGCCCACTCATCTTCCAGTGGCCCACTCTACTGCTATCCATGTGGAGGGGGACTGTAGAAGCTGCTAAGGCCATTCCAGGGGAATAGATTGAAGGAGGGAAGTGAGGTTATCTTGCAGATTGTGACAACCCTTGAGTGTATCTCGGAGTTTTGAGCATGTTTTCCATGGATTATGTTGTTGGCTCCATAAACGACTGAATTTCCAAACCCCTCGCTCCAACCACTTGATCCAGCGTCCATCCTGGGAAGTTAATGTCCAAGGTTTATCATCTTGGTTTTTGATCCATTGGTTGCAGAATAGAGGTTGCCGTAATACCTCTTCCCTGTTTGTTGGTCTTCGTGTTTTAGCCGGGAAGATCTCCCTCCAAGATTTGACGAGGTACATCCAATGATCTGTGTGAGAGTCTTGTTGTAGTTGTTGTCGATGCTGTTGCAGTACTCTTCGATGGACAAACCATGATTTGAACACTAGCCAGAAGTATCCTCGCATATTAGTCGGAGAAGATGCCCTTAGGAGTTGTCTGATCCTGTAGAGTGCCCTTGAAGTTTACTGCAGTCTATGGTTAGTGAGCAACTTCACTATCAACTTAGTCTGCAAAGCTTTGGTCTGTGTGTGTGAGGGTCCAGAATTCCCAGACCTTGTTCCTTTGGTTGTGTGAGGTACCCCCAGGCGACCTTGGGAATGAAGCTCTGCGTACAAGGATTACCGGTCCACAGATAAGTTGTAGAACGTGTTCTGAGAGCATTTGTCATATGCGACTCGGACGTCCAAATGGTTGCTGCGTATCAGAGCAAGGAGAAGATGGACGCATTGAGTATCAACCATGGCAACCGCGGACCCGCACCCGGACATGTCTGGACCGAGGCCCAGACATTTCCGGTAATCCGGACAGGCACCGGACAACCGGACAGGACCGGACCCGGACCGTCCGGACTGGTACACCAGACACAAAAACGTTCAGACCTTTTTAAAAAAAAAAAAAAAATAATAATAATAATAAAAAAAATTAGTAATAAGCAGTACCAACCACAGCTTACTGTCTAAGACATCCACAAAGGCTCACACAACACTTGAAACCAGTTCTCGACAGACCGATCCCAAGTTACTTCAGAAAAGAGTACGAAACTCAGGAAAAAACAGCACTTTGAACTTTGAAGTTAAGACTTTCTAATACTTCATATTCGTATGGAAAATTGAGAACAGGGAAAAAAAAAGAAAAAAACAGAGATCTGGTCAGGACGAGATCTAAGGCGGACTCTCAGATCTGACCAAAATCATCAGATCTGTGGTGCTTTGCAGCCAGCGCTTCATTTTCGGAATCCGACTCATCCTCATCCAATGAACTACCAGTGTAGTACAACAGCAGAGGGAGCTGTTGGAAGTGTCTGGCCGCGTCCGGTAGGCTTTGAAACGGCCAAAAAATACCGGGGGCATTTTTTGGGGGTGGCCTAGGACCCGAAAAACGTCCTAGGCCCCCCCCAAAAAAAATTGAATTTTCAAAATTGGGCCCAATCCAGACCTACCGGACCAGACACCGGACCCGTACCCAGACAACCGGACCGTCTGGATTCCGGTCCAGACATCCGGCTGGTTGCCATGGTATCAACGCTCTTCCGAACACTGAAGTGTAGATACTAGACCAGTTATCTAATATGCGAATAATTCGTGTAAGCATCTCTGGAGCCATAGCCTGGTCTGGTCCTGCGTTTGTGAGGTTGATACCAAGGAACCTCATTGGAGTCTTGGGGTCTTGCCATGACAAGCCTTCGGGGCGTGATATCCTGTGTTGGTCTCTCCATTTCTGACAACCACCAGCCAGTAGTCTTCCTCCAATTAACATTCATTTTAGATGTCAGTTGGAAGGCCTGCATAGTGCGTGTAAGAGCTTAAAAAGAGGCGGTGGAAGCTCTGATCAAGACGGTGAGATCATCTGCAAAGGGAAGAGTAGTGAGCACGCAGACCTGATGAAAGTAGTGAGACGGTTCAACGATTAGACGCTCTATTGCCGGGTCCTTTCTCAAGAATGAAGCTATTGCTTCCATGGTGAAGAGAAATAGGGGGGCTGCTAGCGGATCCCCTTGATGCATTGAGCGGCTCATTTTGTAAGGCGGAGAAAGAAAGCCATTGAGTTGCACTTTTCCGTATGCATCATTGTACAATAACTCCGATGCCCATCTTCTCCATACATTGTTGCTGAAAATTTCAGTTGGCCTGATAGGCCCTTTCAAAGTCAAAAAAGAGTATGGCAACATTGAGTTTCTTGTCCATGATGTATCGCGCAGACTCTGTTAGCATCATAGCGTTGTCCAGAATGAATCTCCCCGGGATGAATCCTGTTTGGTCTATGTGGAAGCAACTTCGAGTGATGTTTCTAAGTCGATTTGCAAGGAGTTTTTCCAGTATCTTATACACCACAGTAAGTAGTGTTATCGGTCGATAATTTCTGATATTTGTAGGGTCTCCCTTCTTGTATAGCAATGTGACAACTCCTGTACTTATGTACTTGCTCAGTCCTTCTTCGTGGTTGGCTGTGTTGAGAAAGTTGGTGTATTCATTCTGAAAGATTGGCCAGAAAGTCTGCCAAAACTCCTTCAATAGACCATCCCTTCCCGGCATTTGATTCGGTTGCATGGAATGCAGTGCTAACTCGACCTCTTCCGATGAAATTGGTTTATCCAGCTCTGTAGCCTGTTCCTACCGCAGCGTTTTGTCCAGGTGTGCAAGGAACTTATGTCGTGCCTCTTGTACTTGCATTGGAGGATGCTGGTCTTCCCTTGAGGTGTAGAGATCCTTGTAGAAGTCCACTGCTATGGCCAACATCTCTTGTGGGTCTGACATTGTAGTATCGCCCTTTTGTAGTTGCTCAATGAGCTTGTTGCGTGTGTTAGTTTTGATCTTCTGAAAGAAGAATTTAGTCATTTTTTCTCCTTGCTCTAGTTCCTTAACTCGGGCTCGCAGTCACATTCCTGCGTCCTTCCAGGCCTTCCAATTCGCTAGCTGGCGTTTCGCTGTGAAGAGTGCTTCTTCTAGGTGTGTCTGTCCTGGTTGGGAGATCCAAGTTGTGATCTGCTATTTGCAGGACTGCTTCTAGTTCCTTCTCTTTCGCCTTCCTTTGTGCTGCAGTAATCCTAGATGCTTTTGCTGATGCATTGGACAGACTTCCCACTAATTGTGGAAAAGTATTCATCCTTGTTCCGTACGCGAAACAAGTTTCAATTATCCGCTCCTCCATAACTCTAGATGACAAGAGAGAATTATCGACTTTGAAGAATCCGGAACCTCTTTTCAGTGTAGCGTCGAGAAGTAGATCTAGATATATGAATTTGTGATCTAACCCCGGGGCGTAAGGTAGCTGACTGATGCCCGTTGCTTGGATTGCTCCTCTGAGGTGCTCTGAGATTAGAAAGAAGTCGATCCTAGAGGCTGAGACGTGCTGACTGCGATTGCGCTTGAGATAAGTGAAAGCTCTGGTTGACGGATGCCTCATACGATATGGATCGAGGCTGTGTACAGATGTTGCTTCGTCCCAAACTGCTCCCTCCGTTGCCGATGCTCCCCCGGACATTCTATCCATTCCCTTCTCTAGTATCGCTAAGAACTGAGTCTACGTGCAAATTTTGTGCTGCTATTGATTTAGCATGAAAAATGACCGCCGTCCCGGATGAGCCCGCCCTCAGGGCCGAAGCCCAGTAAGCTTGACTAACCCATATTTCTTGCTGAACAATGTGATGGTCCTGACTACTTGTCAAATGCGTCTCTTGCAGAAACAAGATATCTAGTGGGTGAGCTCCATACCAATCTAGCACCTTGGTAAAATTGCTCCACTTACACTCATTGGTAAGAATAGATGCCATGCCATTGACATTCCATGATACTATGCAAGTTGTTTCTCGTATAGGCGAAGTAGCAAGAAATGTTCACAAACAATCTCGTGTCTGAGGCAGACATCACTGCTGATTCAGTTCTATATAAGCACATAACTTACCAACCGTAGTGTGAAAAGAAATTCCACAAAAGCATTGCCAGACCATTAATGCACAAGCTCACCCCTCTGCAGCTTACCCTCTCATCCTCGTCCTATTGCTGCTGCTATTCTTACCCCCTCCTCTTTTTCATCTGGTGGCCAATTGCACCATTATCCTCCATTCTTGAATTCATCCTTCTTCATCGTCACCATAACCTTCTTCTTCTTCTTCTTCTTCTTCTTCTTCTTCTTTTTCTTCTTCTTCTTCTTCTCATCATTATCACCACCTGTGCTCGGAGTAAACTGGTGGTTTAATGGGTTTAAAAGGGGTACAATGGGAGGGTGCACCAACTTCCTATTTACCCGCTGGCAGGTTCTGGCTCCCTCGTCAGTCCGGTTCATATCCACCGGCAAGAGGAGTGAGAAATAAAATACATATACTGACAAAGCTTCCTTCCATTGACACCGAGAGAAACCTGACCAGAATTGATTGCTCGCTGGCAGGTACGATTGATTCTCAGTTAGACTTTCCCTTCCGGTGTTCTGCTCAGACTCACAGCCTCACAGGGAATTTCTTCAGCAACACCTTCTCAAGGACGAAGCAGCGGCTTCGTCCTGTAATCGGGTTGACCATTTTGCTGGAGGCATCCCCAGACACTGTCTCAGAGCGCCCACATCCCTCATGACTGGTTTGCGATCGTGTCCCTCTCCAGCATGCCTGTCGGCCATGCAAGTCCAATGATCACCGATAGAGGAAGAGATGTAAAATGACACAGTGGAAGACTCAGACCAAATAGTACCGACTGACAATGCAGCAAACTGACAATGTGACGCATATCTAATCTCACACTAGCGGGGAGCGGTCCAAGCATAGAAGAACCTCCCCAAGAAGAAGAAGAAGGGAGAAGAAGAAGAAGAAGAAGAAGAAGAAGAAGAAGAAGAAGAAGAAGAAGAGGAAGAGGAGGAGGAGGAGGAGGAGGAGGAGGAGGAGGAGACGAGAAGGACAAGAGGAGGACGAGAAGAAGAAGAAGAAGAAGAAGAAGAAGAAGAAGAAAGAAGAAAGAAGAAGAAGAAGAAGAAGAAGAAGAAGAAGAAGAAGAAGAAGAAGAAGAAGAAGAAAAGAAGAAGAAGAAGCGGGACCACGCGCCCATTTTGGCTATCATCTTGGCCAATATTCCAGGGGGTCATTGGGTGATCGGGACCCTTGTTTGTGAGTTTAATCCCCATAAACTGCAGAGGCGTCCATGGGTCCTGCCAGGCAAATCCTTCTGGGGTAAGTGCAGGGGGTGGCACTGGCGTGTCCGCTAGCCACCACCCCGTAGTTTATGCCAGTTTATTTTCATCTCGGAGGCCAAATGAAAGGCTTGCATTGCCCTTGTGAGGGCGCGTGGAAGGGCAAAGCTGCGGCTCAGATCAGTGTTGTGATGTCATTTGTGAAAAGCAGAGCGGTTGGCAGGAAGACAGTGTGTCCTATCGGAGCAGGTTCTCCAATCAGTCTCCCGATTGGAGGGGTCTTTGCGGAGGAAGGAGGCGATGGCCTCCATTGTGATTTCGCGAAAAGAAGCGTGCTTGGCAGGAAGACGGGATGTCCTACCGGAGCAGGTTCTACGATCAGCCTCTGGAGGAGTCTTTGCGGAGGAAGGAGGCAATGGCCTCCATTTTGAGTAAAAACAATGGCGCTGCCAAGGGGTCACCCTGGCGAACAGATCTAGACAAACCCATTTACCTGCACCTGACCGTGGGCGTGGTTATAGAGGACTCTTCCCCACTGGCAGAAGTTGGGCCCAACACCCATCGCCTCCATGCATTGCTATTGAATGCTCGAGTTGACCGGGTCGTAAGTCAAAGAACAAGATAGCTGAATTCAAATCTAAGTCTCAGCACAACATGCCTTAATCTTCTTGCTTCTTTCTTTTTGAAAGTCGCCAGGAAGTTTGCAGAAAGTTTTTTTTTTTTTTTTTTCCCTTAAGAGAGGGAACTGCTTTCCCCAGGATGCAGCTCATGCAGAAGAACAAAGATATTTTCAATACCACTAGTCAATCCGAGGGGTGATTTTGGCCAAAAGATGCACATCAGGATGCATGCAACGTAGGACATTCTGGACATCTTGCCCGCGAACCTAATTTTTCACAGAATAATAAAATGAAGGCTGGGGAAATGTTCATATCCAAAGAAGTTGAAACAACACCATGATTTCTTCTTTTGTTTCAAACAACACTAATAATTGGACCACAGATGTGAAAAACAAGCCTATACAGGGGACCCCTGCAAGCATATCTACCTCTCACAGTTAAGGGGGTACTGGAAGGTGAAGGAAGAAGGTTAGAGGGGAGGAGAGGGGGGGGCGGAGGGGGGGGCCGGGGTAAGAGTGAAAAGTATTTACCAGTGCAAGAGCATACGCAAGACCGACATTCTTCTTCGTGTGATGCTGGTTCTTTGCCACCTGAAAACGCGCAACCGAGTTGGGAAATGCATGCTTGCTTTAATGTTCAAACTTCAAGGACCTTCTTTTTTCGCGCGACTAACGATGTAAGTTCTTTTCGGGAAAAAACATAGGCGCACCATGCAGCAAAGACTGACAATGCAACTCATAACATTTCTCCTTTTCATTTACCTTCATATCAGGCGTTACACACCGTCACTTCTTTTCCAGCTTGGCTGCTGGGAGCCAATCTGTTCTTTGAAACACATTCACAATTTCACACTGAGTTAACAACAAACTGCATTGATCTAGCACACGAGTCACAATGGAACATGCAATATGCCTACCTACCGTCTTCCCCCGAACATAGCACATATGTGTTGTAAACGAGTACAATGTGTTGGTTGCTTTCTGTTGGAATACAATGCATAGGTTGCTTTCTATTCGAACAATCCTTATTTCCGAATACAATGCATATGCGTTCTGTTCGGATTTTCTAAATTTACAGCGCACATGCGTTACGTTCAGGGGAAGACGGTAGGGGCAGATCATGGATTACATCTTTTCGTTGTTTTCAGTGAAACAGGTATTATTACGGGGAGGCCATACATGCCAGACCTTCGTTGAATCCGTAATATCTGGTTATGTGAATGATTATTCACAGATAATTCGCCCCAATTCACACCCCTGGTTGGCATCTGCCACATAACAGGATGGGGACATGGTAAAAACACCCATTCTAAAACCCGTTACCGAACTAAACGACAAACTCTACCTCCGCCGAAAAGGCAAGGCAGAGTAGCTTGGAGACGAGAACAAAAGAGTAACCAAGTCTGTAACCTGAAATGATGTATGCTTCGCAAATGGAGAATAATGCAATCCCTCTCTGTGATCACGACCTCCTCATCTACATGTACTACACCCCACTAAAGTTTTGTTTTTCACGTAGAGTTGCACCCGGCACTGCCGTCTTCAGTGCTCTTCACCCGAATAGAACACCCGGTCATTATCGCTGTGTCTACACCGAAAGTTGCACCAAATGCAGCTATAATGACTGGGAGTTGTATTCAGGTGAAGACGGTAGGCTGCATTCTGTGAAATAATTCAGTGCGTGGATGCCTTGGCATTGAGAGAGAAAGGGTGCAATGAAAAAAAGGGGAAATGCCGAGGGAAGAAGCTCTCTCTTTGATCCATGTGTTTCCTAAAGCGAAACCGCACCGCAGTTAACCTGGCAACTGAAACATCTGAAGGGGGAGTTCGACACAGCTCAAGCTTATCGATTTTCGGTGTCTCAAGCAATCGCGCTCTCAAACATGATATGTCATTACCTTTCTCCCCCCCCCCCTCCCTCTCTCTCTCTCTCTCTCTCTCTCTCTCTCTCTCTCTCTCTCTCTCTCTCTCAGATCTGCAAAAATGCAGCTCACTTTCCAGATCGTTTTTCCCAAAGCAGGTAGGCCTTAGCACCATTGCATCCATCGGGATTTGAACTCATGTATTTGTTTCCAACAGTTGCCTTACATCTATGTACCACTCAGCAAGAGGCAGGAGCAGAGCACAATGAATTGTATCCATCAGGATTTAAACTCTGTATCTGTTTCTTTTTGGACTCGACCACAGGTCTATGTCTCTCAAGTTATCTCAACAAATCATGGGTGTACCACTCAGCAAGAGGAAGGCCGCTTTTCAGATCTCGTATGACGAGGAGGAGGATATCTTTTCCTTCTGTGAACACCATATAAGCTGCAGTCATGATCAATGAATGCTAGCTGCAGCCAGGATCGGCGAATGTTCTTCGGCTTGCGGGCCTCACGTAACCACTCACCAATTGCGCAAAATGAGAACGAAACTTTCGCTATAACATGGACAGATGCGCCGGCATAATCTGTCTTTTGTGCATACGGCGAATGGTGGAGCGAGGCCCTTTTGCTGTGCTACCTTACAGCTCTCTCAGTTTTGAATGTGCGGAGAGTTGGCACACAGTGCGGTGACTACAATCTAGCGCTTTTATTTTTTATTTTTAGAAGACAGTACAGTTCATCTGCTGATACCAGGATGCAGAAAGATGCAGAGCGCAGAGCAAAAGAGGGAAAAACAAACAAAGAAACAAACAAAAAAAAGGAAACGTGCGAGAGAAAAACTCGCATCGAAGTGGCTGGAACGGCCAAGCCCCGCTGGACTATGCCTCAGTCTTTGGTAGGAAATCTGACAGTCACAATGAGACGGTAAGAATCAAATTTCGATGACATGCGTTGGATTGCAAAGCCTAGACATAGACATAACTCGGTCTTCCTGCCCCTAACCACCCAAAGAAATTGGGGGAAGAGTGGGTGGGGGAGGGAGTTCAAGGTGATCAAACTGATAAGGAGATGGAAAAAAAGAAAGCTATGTTGGTGTTTGTCGAGGCCTGTACATGCTGCCTCTGTGTATATGTGGCTGAAGAGGAGAGGGGGGCGACATCTGTTTGTCAAACAGTTATAGATTAGGCACAAGTCACATAACCCACAGCCAGAGAAGAGGCCTCCTGCTGGGACACTCAGTGGTACTACGCTCAGCGGTACCCTCAGTGGTACCCCTGAGGGTAGGACCACTGAAAGTCCCAGGAGGAGCTGGAATGGACCATCAAGTGGGCCTCATGCAAAGGGCTTCTTCGTCTTCACATCTGCCGTGAGATTTTGTTCATTTTATTTTTGAATTTGGACCGTTGCTCAATTTATGTGTGTCATCCTTGTGCAGGGGCCATTTAAGTTTTGCGGGACTCGAAACTCGAGGAAGATATCCTTTGGGCCATGCTAATCTTCTGTCTATCGTTCCAAGGTTGACGTATGTCCCAAAGGATATGTTCCTCGAGTTTCGAGTCCCGCAAAACTTATGAGATATGCTACAGGTTATGGTTAACCGTACCTCATAAGCCTTGTGAGTTCATGGTCTAAGAAATTAGGGACCAATGGGACCAATGGGACCAATGGGATCTCAGGAGGAATGAAACTGAATATGTTCCTTTGTCTTCGGGAGTAGGCATCAAGCTAAGCTAGATCTCTCACCTGGTGCAACGGAAGAACAGCATGATGCGTGAAAAAGATGGGGATGAGAACAGCTGCAGACCGGAACGCCCCATGACCCCAGTGCCCATCACCGGTGTCCCAACTCTCATCCAGCATTTCCGACGGCCCGCGAAACCCTTTCAGCACCCCCTGAGAAAAAATAAACATGTACAAATACAGCAAGCAGGCTAGGGCCAAGCTATTGCCTTTTGCCAGCCACCCTGCATCGCGTAGGCATGCGAGCGGAATGGTGATAAAAGCACTCACTGCAACTGCGACCACCTTCATCATGTACAGACCGTTTCCGTGCTTAGGCAAACCCATCGCACTGGCCATCCGCCTTAATGACAATCCCAACCCATCGTTCGCACAGACCTTAATCGCTGCGCCAAGGCCACTCCAGTTCTGGACATGAAAGCCCCCCTCACCTCCTCCGCTTGCTCCTCCTCCGCTTCCTGTGGCATTGCTGCAGAGTACAGATAAGCACAGCTCAAGAATGTTCGATCCTGACAGTCGCTGCACAACAGGTTCAGGCGTTATCGTCCCCGCAGGTACGTGCTGGCGATGGCTACCTATAGCCATTAACTTCAGACAGCCTTCGATCAGCGCCTCGATGGATCCGACCATGATCAAACCGTAGGTGATAGCTGTCGGGCGGGAGGAGGAAGGCAAGACAAGTATGCAATCGCGGTGGCACTGTAAGTTGGAATTCACAAGTATTGATGCCCCTCAGCTCCTTGCTTATACACCCACCTACGATCCCCCCTAGTCTCCATTCGGACCGTTCTATCCCCCACTCCGTTGGGCCCGTTCTTTCCCAAATGGATGCTTTTAACAGTTTTGCAAGCCCACACCACACAGGCGAAATTTTCTGCCAAGCTAAATTTGGATCTGGATCATCTATGTCCCTCAACTCCATGCTTATATACCCACCTACAATCCCAACTAGTCTCCATTGGGCCCGTTCTTTCCCAGATGGATGCTTTTTCACCGTTTTGCAAGCCCACCACACAGGCTTACCTTTCTGCCAAGCTAAATTTGGATCTGGATCATCCGTATTTTCACTGGTGCAATGTTTTGATCTCAACCTTCCTGTGCTTCTGATCTCAATTGCCATAGAGCCTGATAGAGGCAATAATGTGGTCCTGAACTTTAGTCAGGCATTGTGCAAGTGAGTACCAACTGCAAACTGAAGTGGGCATTGAGCATCAGGCAGGGCACAGCAGAAAACATATTTTGACAGTGTGTTTTGCAATTTGAGGTTGCAAGTAGAGGCCTGATCTGGGACGGGAGCAGGCACTTGGGCAGTGCTACCATCAATCTCTGCACCTCTCTCTCTCTCTCTCTCTCTTGCAAATGCATGCTCCACCGGGTTTATACAGGGAAATAATGTTCAGGGGATTAGTCTGCGTATGTTCAAGATGAAATGTTGGAAGGAAGATTGATGAGGTAGGGGAGAAAACAGAGAACAGTTTCAGACAGAGAATACTGTGCTGTCGGGAGAGCATTCACATACTCTAACGGGTATCGTCTTCCACCGGACAAAATGCAGTAAAGGCACCCTCATCATGAAGGTACAAAAGCTGTCTTTCCAGTCCAATACAGTCATCATGAGGGTGTCTTGTGTTTGGAGGAAGACAGTAGCAACCTAGGTTTTTTTTTTCTTTCTGCCCGGCCAGGCAACCAGACAAGTCCCCAAGGAGGGTATCTCGCCCGGGGTACTCGGG